CTTTCCACAGTTTGGCAACTGTGGAAAGAACCAAGATGCCCTTCAACAGACGAATGGATAAAGAAGATGTGGTCCATATACACTATGGAGTATTATGCCTCCATCAGAAAGAATGAATACCCAACTTTTGTATCAACATGGACGGGACTGGAAGAGATTATGCTGAGTGAAATAAGTGAAGCAGAGAGTCAATTACATATGGTTTTGCTTATTTGTGGAACACAAGGAATAACACGGAGGACGTGGGGAGATGGAGAGGAGAAGGGAGTTGGGGGAAATTGGAGGGGGAGACAAACCATGAGACACTGTGGACTCTGAGGAACTAACTGAGGGTTTTGGAGGGGAGGGGAGTGGGTGGTTGGGTGAGCCTAGTGGTGGGTATTATGGAGGGCATGTATTACATGGAGCACTGAGTGTGGTGCATAAACACTGAATTCTGGAACACTGAAAAGAAATTTAAAAAATAAATAAAAATAAAAATTAAAACCATTTAAGGAGAAAAATAACTGATCCAATAATCCCTGAAAACAATTCACCATGAATTCTATTTTACCACATGGAAACTCTTATTAATAATGATTCTAGATTATCTGTGTGTTTATTTGATTATCACAACATTCTATAAACCTTTAATTCCATGAAATAATATTGTTGGCACATTTATTAGAAAAACAAAATTTCTCATTGCTCTTCTAACAAGATGTTTTTTCAGATTTTTTCCCCCTAACTTTATGTGGGAGAACACCATGAGATAATTAAAGTAGTTGAAAATAATAATCTGAATAGATATTGTGAATGCTTTCTTTATGGTATTGAAAATAGAACAAAATTAAGCTAAAGAAAAATGTCAGACTTTAGCTGCACATACAGGTATATTTAGTTCAATTCTTTTTCTTAGAATTAGTGATAAACTTGAGATTTGCATGTGGGAGGTATTTTTTTTTTTAAAGCTTTCTGATTTTCCTTTACTGACTAACAGTATACAGTCAAGGCAAAAATGGTTTTATTTTGGCTTATATTTTATTCTCTGATTTCTAATTCCAGCAAATATTAAACCATATTTTGGATGACATTGAATTTTTTATCACAAAACTCCAAAAAGCAGCTGAAGCATTTTCTGAGCTTTCAAAAAGGAAGAAAAGTAAGAAAGGTAAAAAGAAAGGACCAGGAGGTGAGTTGGATTTTCTTGATCTTCTGAAAACCATTCAGAATTCCAGTGTTAAGCAGAGTTTCTGCCCTTGGGAACTGCTTAGCAAAACTCCATTGACAGTGGGCCAAAAAGTCCCGTTTCTAGTGTTGAGATTAGGCAGACACTAAGCAGTGCCCAGGGAATGGTCGGTTTTGGTTCCAAGTTGGCTACGGTAAGAAAAGACTCTGGGATACTTAACCTAAATCACAGAGACTCTGAGATTCAGCCGGTGACCCTTTCGTTAATGTCTGTTAAAATCATAGCTCTGTTCCTACCATATTTTGATTTATTTTATTATAGAGAACCTCATTATTTTGTTAAAAGGATTGATTTTTCTCATTAAAATAGTTAACAAATATCAATAGATTTGAATTTTTTAATCACATAACTCCCAAACAATATATCCAGGTCATGTGCAAGCAGTTTTGGGGTATGCTGTAGGTAGTTATTTAAAAGGCCTCCAAATGTATAAACTTATAATTGTGGAGCAAATGAAGTACATCAAAGAATAATAAGTAAATATCCCTTTTATGACACATGACCTCCCAGTCTTTCTCTAGCTCATGTCTACATCCTAAGCATGTGACCTGTAAACTTTTCTTCCAGATGTGTACATCTGGATATACCTCACCTCCCTATAGTCTGAAATTAAGTATTATTGCTTCCTTATGTCTCAAACACTTATTCCTGCTGTATTCTGTGTACTATCTGTGTACTGTATTCAGTGTACCATCCTCTTGGTCATACACATTTAAGACCACAGATTCTTGCATGACTTCATTCTCCAGCATGCAGCCAACATCGATTTTAGTTTTTCAGTGTGTTTTTTTTTTAAGATTTTTTTTTCTTTTATTTGACAGACAGAAATCACAAGTAGGCAGAGAGGCAGGCAGAGAGAGAGAGGGGGAAGCAGGCTCCCCGCAGAGCAGAGAGCCCGATGCGGGGCTCGATCCCAGGACCCTGAGATCATGACCTGAGCCAAAGGCAGAGGCTTTAACCCACTGAGCCACCCAGGCGCCCCTTCAGTGTGTTTTATATCCAGTTGTTTCCCTTTTCATTTTCATAGCTAACGTCTGCTTCAAGCTGTCATCATTTTTTACCCAGCTCTCTAAGAGTCTTCAAGCCTTCAGTCTTTTATTCTGGGAAAACAGTTGTCTTCGGGCTCTAACGTAGTCACTTCATTCTTCTGGACAGCATGTTAATTCCGTTCTATTGATTTAAGTCTACTCCAACCCCCTGATTGTCATGGTCACCCCACAATCCAGCCTTGGTCTACTTTCCCATTCTCAGGTTTCTGTGCTTTGGTTTTTTGTCTCACATACATGCAGTTTTCTTTCCCCATGTGTTTTTTTTTTTTTTTTTTACTGATGCTGTTATATCCAACTATGACATTTTCTTACCAAATTGCCATGTAACAGACCTTTCAGATCCCATTTTAAAAGCTACTTTCCCCTTGAAACATCTTTTAGGTATCCATTTTTCCATTTCCCAATCCGGTGCAGTCTCTTTCTACAGCACTTCCTTGGTGTATCTTTTTATGTACCGATTCATGTCTTCTAAAGTTTTTAAGGCCCTTCAGAGCAGGGTTTATAACTCACACATTTTTATAGTCTTTGCGATGATAAGCATAGTCATTGGAACATAAAAAGGATACAGCATACATCTATGGAATTGATGAAGAATTAGTAGTGCCTAAGGGGAGAAGGGTCCTTTTGAAATGTTGAATTGTCTTAGTTTGTTACAGTGAGTCTATGAGATGCAGTAGAGTAGCTAAGAAGTGCGGTATCTGGAATGATCGAATTTTACAGACACAAATGTGGCTTTTTACTTTTTCATTTAATAGATTTTCTGACAACTTTGCTTTCATCTGTCCCGCTTCTCGTTTATTTCTTTTAGAGGGTGTTTTAACTCTGCGAGCAAAACCTCCCCCTCCTGATGAGTTCATTGACTGTTTACAAAAGTTTAAACATGGATTTAACCTTCTGGTAAGTGAAATTTGTTTGTATATAATTAAAAGAAACAAATGAAAGAGATCAAATTCTAGCCAGGATATTCCTGATTAAATGAGGAGATAAAGTTGTTGTAGATTTTTTCGGTATGTGTGTCTCGATTTGCTTTTAATTAGAACAACAGATAATAAAACCTGTGTATCCAAGTGAATTATCAAAAAAGAACAACTCCTGGGGTCCCTGGGTGGGTCAGTGGGTTTTAAGCCTCTGCCTTGGGCTCAGGTCATGATCTCAGGGTCCTGGGATGGAACCCCGCGAGCCCCACATCGGGCTCTCTGCTCAGCAGGGAGCTTGCTTCTCCCTCTCCCTCTGCCTGCCTCTCTGCCTACTTGTGATCTCTGTCTGTCAAATAAATAAACAAAATCTTTAAAAAAATTTTTTAAAAAAAGAGCAACTCCTAACTTTTTTTTAAACTAAATTCTTTTAATCTGATTTACCTAGGCTGATTCATATCTCACAAGTGAAACTAGTAGTAAAGAACTCTTGCTTTGAGTCTGTGTTGGACCTTTATGATCATCTGTTTTTTGCTTGATGACATCATAGTAATCTGTTCATCTGTTTTCTTAATGCTACAGTCCAAACTGAAGTCTCACATCCAGAATCCGAGTGCTGCAGATTTGGTTCATTTTTTATTTACTCCATTAAATATGGTAAGACTGTTAATTTAAGTGTCTGTCTGACGTATCTCGACAGTTTTCCTTCATTACCTTGCATGGTTATGATTTCCCTTGGCATCTATGTCAGCATCGAGAATGTCCAGTTTGAGAGTTTGAAAGAAGCTTAGAAATCATCCTGTTCAAGTGCCTTACTTTATAGCTGAGGAAACCGATAGCTGTGACAGAGCAATGAAGATGAAAAGAAACATTTATCCGATGCTCATGTTTCAAAATATACTAGGATATAATACAAATGGCTATAATAATATAGAAGGTTTTCTCTTTCTCCCAAAATAGGCTAGGCATGAGGGGATACTGGTACTGTATGGAGGGCTTTGATCATTTGTTTATTCATTCAGAAATACTCATTTAGAGACTATTATTATGTGCTTAGCATTATTAGTAGCTTATCAGGAATAAAACAGACGTAAGTTTTTACCCTCTTGGAACCTCTTGCAGTATGGCGGGGCAATCAGTAACCTGAATATGCGCATAAATAGTACCTTTTGCTAAAAAGAAGTGTTATTTGACAAAGTACAGCAGGGACACAGAAGAGGGAAGGTTTCCAGTGTATGCTCATGCAAGCATACACACGTGTGTGAGATGGAGTATTAGCCTTTGTGAATAGGGTTGGTTAAGGTGAGAAGGTGTCATTTCAGCAAATGAAGTGAGGAATGAGTCATGCAGATTTCTGAAAGAAGACCATTCCAGACAGAGAACAGCTATTGTGAGTGCTCTGGGATGGTAACTGCAAATTGTGTTCTTGGAATAAATAAGTATTGTGACTTGAACAGAATGAGGGAGATCTTAATTAGGAGATGAAGTCAGCAAAGCAACAGGATCATATATTTGTTGGTCTTCATAAGTGATAATGAAATCTTTTAAACTTTTGGAATATTTTCAGCAGGAAAGGATTACTCTGGCTAGAATACTTAGAAATCTGGGGGAAGAAGGGATTAGGGTGGTTATTAAAATAATCCAGATTGGAGATGATGGTGTTTGGACCTGGTGGCATTAGAAATTGTACAAAGAAGTCGGATTTTGATTATAAAACATAGAGCAACATTTGCTGGTTGACTAGATGTGCTATGCAAGAGCCAAGGGTATCTCCAAAGGTTTTGGCCTAAGAGTGGAGGGATGGACTAATTACTAATTGAGATGGGGAAGACAATAGATAAAACAGATTTTTTTGGAGGAAGATAAGGAATTCAGTTTAAGACACGTCAAAATTTTGTTACATCTAGATGGAAAAATTTGATTTGGTAGTTGAATAGATTAATTTGGAGTTCAGTGGAGAAATCAAGGCTAGAGATACATATTTGAGGATCATCTGTATATAGAAAGCATTTAAAGCCATGAAATTATCAACAAAATAGTAATTATAATTAAGAAGAGGAACAAGGACTGGTTGAGCTCTGGGCAATTTCAGTGTTAGGAGAACAGAAAGAACCAACAAAGAAAATTGAGAAGAAGCAGTTAAGTCAGGAGAGGAAACATAAGAATACTATAGTATTCTGGAAACCAAATGAAGAAAATGTGTCCAAGAGAAGAATTGAGCAACTGTGTCAGCTATCTCTGTGGTGGAAGCTGATTTACCTCTGTGCCCTTGTCATAGCTGTACAAGGGCAAAGAAAGATGATTTATCTTTCAGGAGGTGACTCTGAATTTAGATAATTTCTACCTTTGCCCATTTGGCCTGAATGTTTTCATGGGGCCATGCTGAACACCAGAGGAATATAGTCTTCAACTGTTTGGCTATAGGTTCATTTATAATGTAGGGTCTTCTCTTTCTAGAAGGAAGAAGAAGAGAGTGGACACTAGGGAACAATTCGTAGTCTTTAGCATGCTCACTCTGTGCCAGGTCAAGTGATATACATATAATACATTTTTTCCCCAGAAAACTCCCTTCTCATACATGTGTATTTTTACCTAAGGTATAATTTTTGAAACTAACAAAAGGGTGTGTTGAGAACAATTCCCTTTGTGAAGGAGTTGGAGGTTCCTATGAATTTATCCAGCCAAAGGTTATACCTCTTGTGCCATAGGCCAGGATCCAAGATACACATCTTCATTTTCTAGATTTTCAATATGCAGCTATGTTCTTTCCTTATATAGTATGGTAATATACTTCCCTTCTTCCCATTATATATTTCTTATATCTGCAAATGGTATAATAGCAACTTTTCTAGGCTGACATTATTAACACACCGTCTTGTCCTACAGGGCAGTTGGGAGAATTTACTGGAATATTTAAGATAACAGAACAAGTGCTCGCTTCGGCAGCACATATACTAAGATAACAGAACAAAAGAGTACAGGGATTTGGGAAAAGTGTGCGGCAGAAGGTAGATGGAACAATTGTTGCCCTCACATACAGACAGATCTGAGAAGAGAGTAGGTGACAAATCACCCTTTTCTATAATTCCACCAATTAGAGAGGTCATTCTGGTTTTTGTGGGAGGACAAGTGAATGAGGAGTGGAAAGAGAGTGGAATCTCTTTTAAAAACTTCGAGGAGGACAGAGTTTCCTACTTTCTGGGCTAAAGCAGGCATGGGTAGAGTGGTTGTGAATGGCTCTCCCTGTCAGAAGAGCAAATGATTCCTTTGTAGGATGACAATAGCAGCAATGATAATTGTTAGTAATGTGTGATTATCCAGTGTATAATTTCTGTGTTTGTTTTTTTAAAGAGTAAGAGCTGTATGAAATAGATGAATTTCATTAATTTTGGTTTAGGGCATAGGAATGCTATGGTTGAAGTACTCTGATATTTATTGAAAATGGAGCAAATTCAAATGCATTTCCCATAGGTTTTACTTGATTATCAAAAAAAAAAAGAGAGAGAGAGAGAGAGAGAAAGTCCAAGTAACGAAAGGGATAATAAATCTCCTTCTTTCCCCAAGGGCAACTAGACAAGACCTGAAGTAGAATATAAAATGAATATTGCCTTACCAGCATAGGAAAGTAACATCAGCGTAAATGTCAGAACTGGGCAATAAGAGATTAGAATATGAAAGTCCAAGACGACATCAATAATTTATGAATGCTTCCATATGTTGTTGCTATGTATAGAACATCAGATTTCTACTTGTCTAGTTACTGTTGAATAATTCTTGCTTTATAAGCTCTTTTAAAAATTAGATCAAGGACATTTAGATGCAAAGAAGCCCATAGTAGCTAATTAACAAAATTTATATTCCTTATTCTTTAACACATTTGATACTGTCTTAGTTTGAATATTAGGAAGTTTTGACTCTAAAGCTGTTTTTGCCACCTCCTCATTCTTGGCACACGCTTTCACACAGCATAAGTAGATATGTAGTCATTACATAAAGGAGAGCTATAAAATAATGGGACTGGTTTGGTTTCCTTAAAATGTAGAAATTAGCCTTAATGATCAAGCTGTGTATCTGAAAATAGGATTTTTTTTTTTTTCATCAGAAATGACTCCTTATTCATGGTCTCTCCAATCAGAATATATCTGTTGCTTCTTTTAATGTTCTGCCTATAGAACCCCAGACATACTACTTGGACAAGAGACATGGAAAGGAATATTTATTTAGGGCCTACGACCAGCCACACCAAATCTGTGGTTTTAAACCTTGCAAGACCCGCCCTCTGCCCTCAGCATCTCCACACACAAACCCACCCACAGTGTCTATATATGCATATGGGCTTAGCATCCATTCTCTAGGGGGAACTACATCTTAAAAGCTTTTTTTTTCTTTACATTTCTTCTATTTCATTCCCTCTTCACACTGTGAAGCCAAAGATTTTAAAGTTCCTCTACTCCTAGATTTTACTCCTGTACTTTTCCCTCTTAATCATCCCTGCATATTCAGAAGTGCTTATGGGACTTGGACGTAAGAAAATTACTGTACCAGGCTGTCAGGGTAAATTTTGTTCTCAAGTAAGACTCAGCCTCCCTCCTTATTTCTCATCTTTTCTTTCACTCATTCTCAGTTATCCCCCTAACGCTTATGTCTTCTGCAATTGACTTGGTCCAAGTCCTCATTAGAGGGAAAAGTATGAAAAATAAGCCATAAGTTAAAATGTAACGTGTTACTTATATGCATAAATTGTTCCAAGGACACTGAGGTGCCTTAGAGCTATGGTTTGGGATTAAGGAGGGCTTCTTGAAAGAGGTGGTACTGGAGTAGAGTTGTGAGTGATAAAGGAAGGGCCTTCTGGGGAACTGGGAAGCAGCACATGCAGATACACAGAGGCATACAACAGCACAGTGTGCTCAGAACACTTGGATGACTGGGGAGAAACTGAGAAACTGATTCTTGGTCTGGAGCCATTAAAAAAAAAAATCCCTTTTTTCTTGTGCCATATCTCTGGGAAGGTGAGATTTTTATAAAAGAGCTCTGGTTTCTGCTCTAGGAGATAACTACCTTCTTTAGCCAGGAAATAGCCTCTGAGAAGGCAATTTGGAGCAGTTTCCAGACATGCACTTATCATCATTTTGTTTATCAGAGAGTTGCACCTGCTTATTTATTTCTGCTAATCATTAAATTACCCATTTTAAATCAGGACAATTTCCTAGAATTAAATTCTGGAGAAAAATATTAATAGATTCAGAGTACCAGTTCTCATTCGTCGCTCACTTTTCTCTCTGGATCCTTTTATTTTTGTATGTCTTTATAGGCATAGCCATAGACCAGTAAGTTGAGCCTTATTTCTCTCTGTAGTATTCATTTATAGAACCATATTTTTCAAGCTTGGAATAATAGATTTGCCAGGAAAAATACGTGTAATTTTTTAAGCAAAAAGCAGAGATAGTTAAACCACCTGACTGAGAATTCTCTGGATAGCCATTAGTATTTTCCAGGGAAAAATACAGTCCTGTGCAGCCAATAGACAGATCCTGTGAAAGTTGTTAAACTACTGACTTTTCATTCTAGATTTTTAGTCATGATTGGGCTGGGCAGGTTGACTTAATAAGCTGTTTGTCATTCAGGAGTACACCGTACCACATCAAAATTTGAGTCTATAAAAACAGTGCTTGCTTTTGGCATGGCTTTTACATATTTGGAAAATATACATTAATCATTATCTTCTTTCTAAAAAATGATTTATTGTCATTTTAGGTGGTGCAGGCAACAGGAGGTCCTGAACTAGCCAGTTCGGTACTCAGCCCCCTACTGACTAAAGACACAATTGATTTCTTAAATTATACTGTCAACAATGATGAAAGACAGCTGTGGATGTCACTGGGAGAAACTTGGATGAAAGCCAGGTAAACCTGTAGGAGTTTAATACCTGTAATACTTCAAGTATTGTTCTTTTTATTACTTGAATCTAACGAGACATTTATTTAGCCTTCTACTTATAAAACTCTAGGCGTTACAGATGAAAAAGCCTGAACCCTTAAAAAGCTAGTCTGGTGGAGAAGATATAAAGTATAAGAGATATTAAGTACCAGGAGTGACTCATAAACTGCTAACGTTTGGCAATGGGGAGCCATGAGGGAGAAGATTTGATGAGGGGGTTTGGTGGGGGGGGATAGTTACCTTTCAAAGAAGAGCTGGCATTTAAAATCAATAGATAATAATACTAGTCTATTATGTAATATATATGTACAGAGTATACAGATAGTGTTTGCCAGGCACTCTTCCATGCTTTACATAAGTACTATTGTTATCCCTATTTTACAGATAACAAAACTGAGGCCTAGAGTGGTTAAGTAATTTACTCAAAGCCATGTAAATCTTTAGTGGCAGATCTGCAATTTTTACCTGGCAGTCTGGCTCTGGAGTTGATGTTCTTAATTATTTCGCTGTACTGCCTTTCAGCAGGATGAGTAGGATTTCCACAAATACATAGTTGGGAAGGGGCCTTCCTAATAGAAAGAGAAGCATGAATGAGAGCATGAAGCAAGAAGTCAAGAGAATGGAGAATGAAAAATGGGTTTGGCTGGTATATCAACTTTGGGTAGCAGGCGCTGGTGGGGAACAGGGCGAGGAGGGATGGTGTTAAATGAGGTACATGGAAATAAGCAGGTGGGCTGTGGAGAACCAATAGCTTTGTGATGAGGGGATCATTTTAAAAATCGTATTTTGTCAGTAAAGAGATTGTGGAAGACAAATCATTTACATTGATTGCCTCATTTAACATTGCAGTATTAAAGTTTCCTGAGCAAGGCAAAAAAAAAAAAAATTCTCATTTTATGATATGCAAATAAATAATTTTGCCTTCCTATCTTACTCCGATCATTTTATTTCTCTATTTAGAGTGGGTCATTCAGTGTGGTCACTTAGAAGCTTTTCTTCCTAATGCTTTTGAATGGGCTAGCCTGAAAGTAATGGATCAGTTCATAATTTTTTTTTCTCCTCCTTTTCTTTGGTTGAAACACATATAAACTGTGTTTATATACAAAATATAAAATTTATATTTTGGACTTAGGCAACAGCTTGTGTTGGAATACGATTTACATATTGAATGATTTACCAAGCAAAAAATTATTTAAAAGCATCATAGTTGATTTTACATTGAAAACAAGATTTAAATTTATTTACATATTAATATAACCTACTGTATCATGCTATTTGTATATTGTACTTGGCTAAATAGATTTCTTAAATCTATTGGACTTTCATAGTTTATAATCTAATGATAAGCCTAGGTAGGATCTTTTAGTATTTTCCCATGAAACTTACTAAATTAATCAGATCTCCTAGTATAAAAAAAGCTCAGACTTTCTAATTTCTTAATTTTGGGTCATACCTCAAAATGAGAAAATAAATGATTATTGGAAAAACTACATCAAAAGAAAATATATTGTTAGCTCTTGACAAGAGAAAAAGTAATTTTAAAATCCTAATTGTTGAGAGTATTAGGAAATGGATATACTGATTTAAAAATTCATAAAGATAAAAAGATCATAAAGGTACATAATAATCTGAATAAAATGGCTCATTTCATCGTAGTAGAAATATAACCTGAAAAATTAATCTTTCACTTATGAAAGATAAAACAACACAATATAGCAGAAATGAAGCTATAATTTCTGTCCCAGTTATTTTTGTGGTTCATGAGTGATTAGGAGCTTGTAGAAATAAGCCTCACTTAGAGTCATTAAATAATGAATGGGTAATGATTGCGATTTCAGATTAGTCCTAACTTGATTTTACTGATAAATGGCTCGCTGATAAATTTAATTTATAAAATTGGTAATGTTTCATTTAGGGGACTTTATAACTTAAAAAATCATAAATGTTAAGAACATTCTCTGTTTTCTCTTTCGAAAGATGTATCTGATACCAGGAGCGTTCATACCGTTGGGAGGGAGGGAAGAGAAAGATGAGAATCTCAAACTACTTTAGATACAAGAGAAGTTCATGTTCTAAATACTTTTAACACTTCTAGCCTCATGCTCCCTTTCCAAATTTTCAAAACCTGTATCCATGTTACAAAATTGAGTTAATGGAGAATTGAGGCAGTGTACTGAAAACAGATCATGAAGCAGAATTCAATCTCTCTTTCCTTTTGTTGGCATTACAGACTATTATAAGCATGTCCATTTTCCCTTTTTGAGTGGAGAGAGGGCAGATTAGGTATGCTTTGTTTTTGTTTGTTGCCATGTTTTGTTTTGCTAACCTTGTTGAAAGTAATTTTGAACATGGATACATTTCTTAATTTTGTGTCTTAATGTCCCTCTACAGAGCAGAGTGGCCAAAAGAGCAGTTCATCCCACCATATGTCCCACGGTTCCGCAATGGTTGGGAGCCCCCCATGCTGAACTTCATGGGAGCCCCGATGGAACAAGATCTTTATCAGCTGGCTGAGTCTGTGGCAAATGCAGCAGAACATCAGCGCAAACAGGAGACAAAAAGATTATCCACAGAGGTAGTTTTTTAGCACCACTTTTTGTAGAGCGTGCAATAACATGTGCATTCTCTTGTAATTCTGATTGTGAGTTCTCATTTTATTGATCTGAAGATTGTTCTAGAACTAATGAATAATCTGTCTTGCTGCCATTGGTTACCTCTCACTTCTCTGTCATTGCCGTGACAGTTATTTTGTTTCCCTGTGAAGCCTAATGCCAGCCTTAGAATCCTGTTAGCTCTCACCCCTACCCACCTGCTGGTGTTCCCTGAGCCCTGTGATCCTGTCTCAATTTTTGAGTGCCTGCTTTCTCCCCTTGTAGAGAATTGCCCGACTGCTGCTCAACTTGTTCTCTTTTTTCTCTCCATCATCAGACCCTTAAGACAGTTCCTTGAACCTAGGTCCCTGAAGGCTGTCCCAAGCAGCCCTTTCCCAAATGTCCCATTTCTTCCCTCCTTCCTCCTTCCTTCCTGACTTCCCTCTTTCCCTCCTTCCTTCCCCCTAGTTCTAAATTCCGAAACCTCTGCCTGGCTCTAGAAGGCCAGAGTTTCTTCTGGACTCAGTCCCTAGGCTCAAATGATCATTTATAACACTAACATATCCTGAGGAGATCACAAAATTTATTGTGCCTTTTAAGTATTTTAGTAAGCTTTAGAGTATAACCTACGTGGGGAGCAAATTGAGGCATTGAAATTAGGTAAGTTTTCTCTGCACATTTCTTAAAAACGATTTTCCTGTAACTCGTCTTGTCCTGTCAGAAAAGAAAATCAAACATTGCTTAAAGCTGAATGAAACCAAATAGAAGGATCAGAACCCAAGGAATTAGATGAATGAGGTCTAGTTTGGAGAAAAAACAGTAAATGATGACTAGATCCTCCTTGAAGTCCGGTTCATTTCCTTTATTTAATTCCATGGATTAATTTTCTCAGCATGCTGTGGGTATTTGTAATAAGGCAAACATGATATGAAGGAATGATTAACAAACCAGAGTAAATCTTCATTTTTTTTTTTTAAGATTTTATTTAGTTATTTGACAGAGATCACAAGTAGGCAGAGAGGCAGGCAGAGAGAGAGAGAGGAAGGGAAGCGGGCTCCCTGCTCAGCAGAGAGCCCAATGCAGGGCTCCATCCCAGGACCCTGAGACCATGACCTGAGCCGAAGGCAGCAGCTTAACCCACGGAGCCACCCAGGTGCCCCTAAATCTTCACTTCTAAGGAAAAGCACCTAAGTTAAATTTTTAAAAATCAGTCCCTTGGACAGTAACCATAATATTATAGAAGATTGGTTAGATTTTGAAACTGTAGAGATAAAACAAATGTACTGATTTGAAGATATATATTTTTTCTAACATAATTGCTTTTTCCTCTGGCTCATCGAAGGGTAGAGTCTCTAACTGCTGTTTCTTCCAAGTGATTAAGAGGATGACCTCACAGCCTTTGCACTGGTTGGCAGTCCCTCTCTGGACCTTAGCACTGTGGATTTTATAGTTCAGACCTCATCACTGTGGATTTCCTTTCCTCATAGAGGGCAGCTTTTCTAGAGGAAAAAAAAGGTGTAATCGGACATAAAATTATGACACACTTGTTGCTATAGTTACAGCCAACTATTTTGAAATCACAGAAATTTCTAGCTTACAGTCCTATATCTTAAATGAGAAAATACATTCACTTAATAATGTATTGCCTCAGAAATTCACTTTCGTACATTCTTTTTCAAAAACTTACGTATTTAAAGAGTGAGTAACGTGTTCTGGTCTTCCAGTGTATAAGTTGTCTACCCTCACTGAAGAAGTAATTTTAAAGGAAGAATTATTGAGAATCTTTCCTAGAAATGAGTTATCACTTTCCTGTTGTAAACTATTTTCCATTTTATTGCCTAAGTACTTATTCAGAGGTTTAAAAAAATGAAATGAAAAGTGCCTGCTAGCTGTTTTAGGGGATTTTTATGCCTTAAGAATTTGTTGGAAGAGAGACCAACTAATGGTGATTTAAAACGCATAAAAAAAAAATGCAATCATCCCCAGAAGAGGAGCTTTATTATACTTGATTGCTACTAAAATAAATACACTCAAGATAAGACCTGGATGATTCAGGATCTGGTGGTTTTGTGTAGAATCGAAAGACATAGGTGACATGGTGTGTCAAACATTAGTGGCAATACTCAACTTCTTTCCTTCCTCTGAACAAGCAGCAGACCTAAACAAGCTTGTGTAGTCATCACAGTTAATCACTCAGCATCATTCCTCTCCTCCCTTGCAATAATTTCGGTCACTCTCAGGACCCGGTGATCTCATGTTGACTGACCACATTCTCTTCTGTTCAGAGTTAGCCAAAGGTGAGGGTGATTCTTGACAGGTTCTTGCACTCCCCCTGTCTATAAAACATTGGTAACCATCTAGGGCCTCTCCTCTCAACTAGGGAAGTGAGAAACTGAATTAAGCTACGTATTTGTCATTTTTAATTTCAGCTTTATTGAGGTATAATTGACAAAATCATGAGATATTTAAGGTGTTCATCTGGTGATTTGTAAGGCATTGTGAAAGACTCCCCCCCCCGCCCATCTAGTTAGTTAGCGCACTGACACATCTGTCGCCTCACATATTTATCTGTTTTTCTTTTGGTGAGCACATTGAAGTTCTGCTAGCAAATTGTAATTGCACAATATAGTGTTATCAGCTATCTTCACCATTTCACATTAGATCCTCAGACCTTATTCATTTATAGCTAATAGTTTGTACCTTTTTACCAACTGCTCCCAATTTCCCCCAGCCCTTGGCAACTGCTTTTCTACTCTGTTTCTATGAGTTCAGCTTTTTAACATTTTTTTTTTTTTTAATTTCACATATAAGTGATACCATGCAGTATTTTTCTTTTCCTGGTTGGCTTATTTCACCTAGCAGAATGCTTTCAGAGTTCATCTGTGTTGTTGCAAATAACATGATTTGGTTCTTTCTCATAGCTGAATAATATTCCATTATATATTAATACCATATCTTTACCCATTCATCTGTTGATGGGCACTTAGGTTGTTTCCATATTGTGAACAAAGCTGCAGTGAACATGGAGATGGAGATATCTCCTCAAGATCCTAAATTCATTTCCTTTAGTATTACACCCACTAGTGAGTCTGTGCTAGTTCTAGTTCTGATTTTTTGAGGAACCTCCATACTGTTTTCTTTTCTTTTTAAAATTTATTATTTTTTTAATAACAGAGAATCCCAAGCAGACTCCCTGCTGAGCACAGAGTCAAACACGGGATTGGTCTCACAACAAGGAGATCATGACCTGAGCTGAAATCAAGAGTTGGTTGCTTTAACTGACTGAGTCCCCCAGGCACCCCCCTCCAGATTGATTTCCATAGCCCTACTCCAGTTTACATTCCTACCAACAGTGTACATGCGTTTCCTTTTCCCCCTACATCCTCACCCACACTTGTTTTATCTTGTCTTTTAGATGGTAGCCATCCCAGCAGGTGTGAGGTGACATCTCATTGTGACTTTGATTTACAGTTCCTTGATGATAGTGATGTTGAGCACCTTTTCATGAACCCATTGTCCATTTGTATGTCTTCTCTGGAAAGATGGCTGTTCTGTTGCTCTGCCCATTTTTTGACTGGATTGGGTTTTTTGTTTATTTGTTTGTTTTCTCTTGAGCTATGTGAGTTCTTTATGTATTTTGGATTTTTAGTCCTTATCAGATACATGATTTGCGAATATTTTCTCCCATTCCGTAGTTGCTTTTTCATTTTGTTGACAGTTTAAACCAAGGTATTTAAATGGTGAAAATTGTTTCTTTGTATTTATGTGTTAAGCCTATTCTAAAGGAGTAATACAGTGTGGGTATTTTGACATCCACACTAGCCCATTGGAGAAACCTTACCTATTTACTCATCTGTGTTTAAACACATCCATACCCCTGCCAACTCTGTCATTAGGATGAACTATGGTAAACATGTATCTAAGACTTTCTAAAACATTTCCAGTTTCAGATATTTTGCCCCAATGAGTTCATAAGCAATTTAAATAGCCAAGGACTTCCAGTACTTCATGGTCTGTTGTGCCTTCTCCATATTTCATTTCACATAAAGAAACAGCTGCAGTCTTTACATGATTTTTTTTTTTTAATCTTTGTTTCTTTGTTTTTTCCCCATAGCTTTGAAACCATGGTGCTCACTGAGGCCCATAGACCTCAGTTCCCCCTCCTGGTAGCTCCCAGTAGGCTCATGTTGAAATTAGGTTAACTACAAAAAGGAATTACTTCAGCATTGTCTGATCCTGTATTGACTGTTAAGGTCAATGTGTTTCTGTCTTTCTGTATTTTCTTCTTTCTGTATTTCCCTCAATAGTAAATCTGATAATAGTGGCTGCCATTTTTTTAAAAGTAAAAAAAAAAAGGATCTGTGTATCTTTAAAAAATGAGATTGTAGTATGATTTTAATGCACAGAGTTTAAATGATTTTCATGTGATATTATTTACTTTGCTAGAGTGGTAAGGGTCTGCTTCTTAAACATAGAGAGTGAGTGGGCAGAGTTTTATTGTTGTTTTTAAACCAGTTTTATTTTATGTAAACTGTTAAAGTCTACCTACTACCAAAACCACCTATTACTGAAGTTCCCGAGGAGAGAATTTATCATTTGTATACCCACTTATTTTCAGAATTATAATTTAGCTTTTGTACTAATGACTTTTCCTATTATAAATAGGTCTTTGACAAAAGTGTATCACCCCCATTTCATAACTTGTTAATAATGGTCAAATACTTGAAAATGAGAAACATCACAATATGGTGGAGGATTTTGTTGACTAATATTAGTTGTCATTCCAATAGTCTTAGCGACTCTTTAATCTCTCTTCCTTCATCTTTCAGCAGTCCGGTGTGTCAGAGTATCCTCCAGCAGATGGGTATGCATTCAATAACATGTACACAAGAGGGCCCCATCTGGACCAAGGGGAAGCAGCTGTGGCTTTTAAGCCAACTCCTAATCGCCACGTAGATAGGTAACATTTCATGGGCACCACTTGAAGAGCGGCCGATATCTGTCTCTCATTTAGTGCAAATAGAGGTCCCAACGTCCGCATTGTTCACTACTTCTTTAAACTTTCTGTCTGTTAATTGTTTAATGAAGTTTCAGTTGTTCCTTTATAGAATCGGTTTTGATAAATACAGCCTCTAGTTTATAATTCTTACTGGAAAACCTCCAGCCTATAACTCTAATTTAGTGCAGTGCCTTTGGATGACTTCCCCTTTTTAAAAAGATGCTATGACAAAATCTGTGAATTAAGAAGAAAGAAGAATTGTTTTGAAACTCTCCATTAGTTTATACCAGATGGTCTCTAAGGATCCTTCTAGCTCTGTAACTTTTAAAGGAAATGATTTCCATCTTTCTCTTCCCCCAACAAAAACAAACCTTCCTGTAGATAGAGCTGTTTCTAAGTATAAACTAAATATTTAGAAGGACTCAGTGCCTTATTTGCCATTCTTGCTATTTCATCTTATTATATTGTATTTTCACTTTCCAGTTTTATATTTCATTTATTTTCCCATATTTTCACTCTTGAAAAAAATTCAGTGTGGGCAGAGAGGGAGATTGGAGATGGGGGAGAAATAAAGGCACTTTGGAGTAGGTTTACCTCTTTAGTCTTGTTTTCCAACCTGTGCAAATAAGGTTGACCAACCCCTCTACAAAAAGGAAAGAAAAGGAAGTGAAAAACATGTGGGAGAATGATCATTCAGATGAAGTAGGATAGAGAACTTGCCCGGCTACCTTCCTCCCTCAAAGCCTCACTCTCCATTAGTGTTGCAGTCCCTTTCCTTCTTCTCACTATACTTTTTTCTTAATAGAACCTAAAGAAGATGGGATCTAAAATGTGTGATTTTTGTTAGGAATGATAACAGGTAATATTAAGTAACTGGTGTGGAAATTTCACAGACATTACTCTAAGGACATCTGTAACATATTATATTGAGTATAAAGTCAGCAATGAGTATCAGCGATGAATAATACATTTTGAAAATGCCAACATACGAAATAAGTTTTAATTGTAGATTCAATTTTTAGTAAATAATGCATGAACATTATTTTCAGAAGTTTGAAAATTATTTCATTGAAATTCTTTTTGACTAACCTATTACTCATCCTAATATTTTCTTTTTCCTTTTTTTGGAATTTGTTTTTATAATTATTTTTATTACCCTAAATTCTGTTACATGCCTGGAATGCAGTAAATGCCCCATGAAGTATAGTCACTCTGCTGTGAAACTTACCATGCCATTAGGTAAACTGCCTATTGAATATAGAGCCCTCACCACTGAGGGATTATAGTTTACTGCTATCCAAAAGCAGTTTCCGTTTTAGAGATGTCTCTGATCATTGCCAACTCCACGTCTGCTCTCTATCAATTTCATTTTTTAAATGTTTTATTTTTTTTTTCAGTGCTCCAAAATTCATTGTTTATGCACCACACCTGGTGCTCCATGCAATCCGTGCTCCTTAAGATCCACCACCAGGCTCAAGTGCATATTTATTACTTCAAAACCATACGTTTTGATACAGTATAGATCTCTTAAGAAATTTCATATATCTGAAAAATTCCAAAATATGATTTTCAGATTGATTACTGTGGTCCATATCATAGCTACATTTAATCTGTAGAGGATGAGAAACTGAACCATGAAGATCTGTACATTCTAAAGCAATTTACAAAGTGCAGTCACCTCTGAGACACTCAGGATCACCAAGACTTCAAGAACTACAGCAAACTCTTCTTTTTAACTGGCTGGTTCAGATACACAGTGGCAGCGAGTTACTCTACCCTTTGTTACAGTGTATTCAACTCTATTATTAACAGTGATTGTTTTCTAGATTATTCAACTCTGTTATTAACAGTGATTGTTTTCTAGATCATGGAAGGGCAGAACTTGAGGGAAGAGAGATAGGAAGCTGAAATTACTGCTTTTCTGACTTTTGAAGTAGCTGAATTTTTTTTCCCCCAAATGAAATCTAAGTAGAATGTAAACATATAAACTAGGGAATAGGGGTGGAAAGCCCTTGGAACAGTTTTTAAGTTATTATTATTATACAATAATTATTTGGCTATAATGTTACTTTTCTCCCTTTTTCCTATTTTTTTAATATATCAAAAATGGCCAATTGGTAGCGTAGCATAGGGGCCATCTTTTTCATTGTCCCTTAACTCTTTTGGAGTTGCTAAGAGATTGCAGATTATCTGTGACCACAGGATACATTGTGTCCACAATTGTAATGCTGACCATAAGGTGATTCCAGAGGACCCTGGTAGGCCACTTGACGGGACGATGAACAAACATCTTTAGTTCCTTTCTGCTTTTTCTCTTGTAGAAATGAGTAAGGAAATGTGGAAAGATAAGTGAAGGAGAAGAGGGAATAAAATTAATTAAAAAAATAGTTATTTGATTATTGAAATGAATAAACTATTATAATAGCCAAGTTTTATTGTATTATGTATAGAAGTATTTTTTAAATTATGTTAAATCTATTTATGGTCATTTAATGATTGAAGGAACTATTTGGTTCTTTAGGGAAGTTTTCTTTTTTAAAAAAACATACAACTCTTGGACCTGTTCTTACTATTAAAATAAGTTTATAAGGAATTAATTAACTAGGTGTGTTACTAGTCTTGTACTTAATCTATACCTTCCCTTGCAATTTAGAAACTGGACAAAGCTTTCCTAAAAATTGACACTTAGTCATAATTTTTTCATATGAATTGAAGACATTGCTTGAATTAGTGAAATCAACATATAATTTAAATTACTGCTATGGAAATTATGTTCCGTCTCCTCTAGTTTTATAAAAAAATGCTAACATTGATCTTTGTCCTAGTTCTTCCTTGGTAGAGATGCTAATTAACAAAGCAATACCCCAGTATATTTAATGGACAAAGAATTCATAGATTTGCATTCTAGATTCTCCTTAGTACCCACTAACCTTGTGATTTTGCATTATTTATTTTTGCCCTAGGCATAGTCTGCTCATTTTAATAGAAGGACTCCAAAGTTGTTTTTTTTTTTTTTTTCTTAGTTCTCGTATTCTGTGGAATGTGATCAACTAAACTGCTATTGAAATAATTTGTCAGGATGTTTTCTTGTAGGAATTAGCTTGCCTTGATGTTTTACTTCTGTTTTCAGCCTATAGGAAGAGCTAGCTGAATGATATTTTCTCTTTCTTTTTATAGAAATTATGAACCACTCAAAGCACAACCCAAGAAATATGCCAAATCCAAGTATGACTTTGTGGCAAGGAACAACAGTGAGCTCTCTGTTCTAAAGGATGATATTTTAGAGGTAATAGAATTTTACTTTTTTAATACTCTTAATAAAATGGATTTATTGTATTTGGTATATATCTAAACCTTCCTCAAAGAAATGAGGAGATCAAGAAATTATTCTTAAAACAGTGTTATTTTATCAAGGATATAGGTATAATATAGATGCCTATATCTAACTAGGAGGGGGAGCTGCTTTTTCTCATTTTCTGCTCGTTGGGTTTTTCTGGGGGAGGGGGTGGAGGACAGAGATGGGGATGTGGAGGACAGAGGTTGGATTTCTTGGCTTACTTTGTCCTCTTTCTTCTTCTGGGCTTTATGCATTTTGAAACCTATGCTAGTTATGTAGATGCATCATAATATTTTAATAAGAACACATTTTTTTTTCTTCCTGTCCTAGTACCCTTGCAAAAATATACCCATCAGTGAGTAAGCTAATGATCCTGGGAGTAATTTACTATGATTCCCAAATATCTTTCTTAGGTCATAATGGAGAGTTCCTCTTCTATGGTAAATAATGTCAGATAGTCACATAGTTTTTGTGAAAAATAATGGTTTTCATACTATTCCTTCCTATTCAAAGGATATAGGCCTCTCCAAGCAAGTCATCTTAGTCATCTATAAGTACTTCCGATAATGCTAATAGTTAAAAATTCTTGGCAGGTAATGAGAACCTCAGGTATATTCATGATAGTGGTGGTTCCATGCCTGTCCTATACCAGTGATTATAATTCTTAGTGTAACTCCTGGGAATCATTCAACCCACAATATGTTGATAGTAAGCCAGTTTATTATAAGTGAAAAGAGCTTCTTAGTCTAAGGAATAAAAATTGAATTTCTTTTCATAGATTGGTTTTGGGATGGAATGATGTCTCTATCTTTTTGCATGATGACAGATCCTTGATGATAGAAAGCAGTGGTGGAAAGTTCGAAATGCAAGTGGAGACTCTGGATTTGTGCCAAATAACATTTTGGATATTGTGAGACCTCCAGAATCAGGATTAGGGCGTGCTGATCCACCTTACACACATACCATACAGGTATTTATGACATTTTGGCAAAATTTAATTTTTTTAAACTTTCATATTCATCACTTTTCCATGGGGTTTAAATACCTTTTGTGTATTAATTATTTTGAGATTTAATTTGTTGTACAATTTGTATAGATTTTTTTCCTAGGATAATTGAGGGGCAATGGTTACAGATATAGGGAAGAATTATATAGATGTTTTTTCTGATGTATTTCTTCAGAAAGTTGCTCAAACTGTTTACCAGTAAGTGTTATTTCTCTGAATGCTATTTTTTCCCCCATCCTACAATGCTTCTTACATGTGGAGAAGTAGTATTTCTGCCTCTTCACTCTTGCCCAGAGCCTTCCTATCCAGTGGCTTCCTCTTGATAGAGGGTGGCATTGTGACAGTGGCTGGAGTGTCCAGCAACTCATCGTCATCGTCCTTTGCCCTCATTCTCTTAAAGGTTCCATCCCTAACTAACCTTGAACTTGCACTCTTCTCACCTTACACTAGCACATGAGTATTCCTTTGAACTACAATATTTCTCCTGTCTTGATTTTATGATTAAAATATACTTAAGATATAGGGTAGTAGGTTGTCTCTCCTTGATCATAAATAAGTTTTGAGTGATATGCCACATTTTCAGGACTTTGGTGACCCTGGTTATCCCATTCACCCTGATATCTGAACTCACTCACTATTAACACTTTGGGATTTTTGACCTATGACAGGATCTCTAGAGTCGGGTCTGCTAGCAGAGGGAGAATGGAGGGAACATCTCATGTATAGCCTTAAATCTGTGGTGGCTTCTATACTGTGCCCCCAGGAAACTTTTAATTTTCAGAATCTTGAGCAAAAGACCACGAATGACCCCATAATAATGTCACAAGTATGAGTAGAAGCGACATAGAATAAATATGCAGTGAAATAGTTCATTTTCATGCCAGGTCTAGGCTTAGTAAGATACAGATTGACCAAACCTAGAATGGTGATCATACTCCTACTGCCATGACCATTCATTAAGTTACTTTTGGCTCCTCATAGCATTCGAGTGGAGTACCAGTCCTCTACTTACCTGGAGTGACCCTCAGCCTTATTAGAATCCAAGAGTCAAGCAAATTTTAAAATAAAGAATTCCTGTACAATTTATGTATCTTGATAACTTACAGTGATAGCAGTGGGAATTCTGTTTGCTTGTTTTAGCTGGTCTGATGTGCGGATGTATCATGTACTTAATTTATGTTCATCATTTGTCATTAGCTGTTGATGCCAAAGAAGGAGTTTGAGTTATTCAAGGTATGGTCTACTCCATTCCCTGTGGATTTTTGAAGTGAATTTTCTAACTCAGTCTGAATACCTTTTTGTTTCCTAACTTCTTTTCTGATTTTGAGATGTGGTTACCTGACACGACATAGGCTCCTGCCTGGTTTATAAATGCTGTTGTTTACATTCTTTCCTGTAGAGATTTAGACCAAATGCCTTCAACAATATTAAAGAGTATATGCTTGAAATATATGCCTAAAATGGTATAGAGTATATATTCTTTGAACTTATAGAATATTTTTAGCAATTAACTTGTGAGAAACAATAAGAAACACTGTTCAGAGAGGCTATCGCTAGATGCCTCTCTATGAGCAGGAGCCAAGATTTATATTTTAGAGTTAAAAACAGTTATTCAAGTTTGGTATATGTGTGTGTGTGTGTGCTCACAGTTGCTAAGAATAAGCAAATCCAATACAGACCTAAAACTTGCAAATAATATCATTTCTAAGTATTTTCTCCCACCTGAGATTTCCTAATGAATTTAACCTCTTCTCCTTCATCTGTTTATGTACAGTCTTATCTTTATCTTCAATTCTGACCCTTGGCCTGAGCCATCAGTTGACATTTCTGTTTAATGATTGCTTCTGTTTAAAACTGAAGCAAAACTATTAATACACATCCAAGGTAAGGAGAGTACTTTCTGAGAACATGAACTCTATCCTTCTTTCCTTGAACAGAGCCTCATCTTATATTTTCGTCAACCTTGGCACAACCAAGACATTTTTTAAGTGCTCACAAGTTTTAGGAGTTTGTTTTGCTACTTTATGTAAATAGAAATGTGTGGATATTGCCTGTTTGGGCTGTTTTCCTTTTAAACTTTTCAACACGATTTGACTGTCTTCTAAAAATTTCTGGATGCAACTTTGAATACAGTGGAATGCATGTGGAAACATTATAGAAGCTGTGTGTGTATGTGTGTTTTAAAGAGCCCTACTTTTAAAGGTTTTATTAAAAACAGTTTATTTTTTAACAGCTCCTGAAAACTTTGGGCTGAGCCCAACAAAACCGCCAAAATCTTGTAAAATTTTAATAAGTAGGTTTGACAATCTGCTATCTGGCATAAATCCTACTCTAAAAGAATTCCTGTTTTTCAAAGCATTTTTAACAAGCACACAATGACTAGATAAAGTAAGCTGGAAAAGAAGGACATCCTTGGAAATGCATGCCAATCTGTTACCTTTATCTACAATATCTAAAGAAAAACTCTGTGGCTTATTTCGAAATGATAATAAAGGTCCCACAATATCTATGCTGATTCCAGTGATCTAACTCCCTAGCCTTTGAGAACTCCACTGGATTACAAACAAACGAAAAGCAATTCTGTCTTACTCATCTTTTTGTTCATTCACCTCCCAAATATTTATTGAGCACCAGGATCTTGTATTTGATGAAAAGGAAGACAGAAAGCCTAGCACTGAGCAGATCTTCCATAAAAGCTTACTGTCTGGAATCAGAACCTCCAACCCGTCTGTCACAGCTTTGTTCCTTTGCGCTTGGAGTATGATGAGCAGTGACCCTCTCCTTAGAAATGGATGACATACTTTTCCCCTGGTATCTTCTATTCATTGAGATCAAAATTTGGAAGGAATTTAAAGAAACTACTTCTTGCAAAAACATTTTAGATCCCTGGACAGGGCTGCAGAAAGATATGTAGTGGTTAATTGCTTCGTTACTGGAGGTAATAGTATTACCTCCAAAGCAGAGCATGCCAGGGGCCAGTGCTCATGCCGTGGGCCAGGCATTGTTTAAGGACTTCACAAATACTCATTCATTGAATTCCCACCACAAATCTAATGAAGTTAGGTACATTTTATGGATGAAGAAACCGAGGTATGGAAAAGTAAGTCACCCACAGTTACACAGCTGCGTGAAGCCAAGACTGGGACCCAGAACTCTGGATTCAGAGCCCGTGGGGAATCAGGCTTAGGAAAGATTATTTTCTCATTTTTAATATACATATGGTTCTCACTACATGAATGCTTCAGGGACATTTTCTCAGAATAGTTTTACCATACATTGTACTGTTTTAAAAGTTAATCTGATAGTTACCATCCTCAGAATGGGATTTCTGCCTTACCCATCAATTCCTTGGATTTCATCAATTCTTCCTTTTTTTTTTTTTCATCATTTAGGAAAATAATCCAAGTTACACAGTTTACTTAGAAACTAGACATTTTGTGAGTGGTGGGAATAAGGGAATTAGCTGTAAATTGTTCCATGTAGCATTGACAAGTCACCAACTTGGTGGAAGTGCACAGTTGTGACTCCTCCTTTTTCATAACCCCGTGTGTCCTATGAAGACTCATGGCTGTCCCCGGGGTGGGGGTGGGGGGCCACAAGAGCAGCACTTGCCTTTGTTCACACACTTTGGGTTGGAGATTCTCTTCTGATAGCAGGGATGCTAGTACCTGGGAACAGAAGCCAATAGGTGTTAAATTGCCACCTGAGGTCCCCGAGCGCCTAGGTTATTTAATATCCTCACATTTGGAGTGATTTTTAACAGCTCTGTAAAGACTGCCATTCCCACCAAATGTGTTTCCCCCATGGGTTCCACAAAATTTTAAAAATGAAAAGGTGGGAGGTAATGAAGAATTTATGAAAGATATGGTACATTAAAAAGATTTAGTGAAACCACAGGGAAAAGGAAGTAGGTGCTTATGAGAGATTATGGAGAAATGGAGATAAATGACATACCTGTTGATAACATTTTTGTTGTAGAGCATTCTAGGACTTTGTTGTATTTTAGCTGGGCAACAGATCGATATCCAGGGTGCTTTCTCCCCATCTGGAGTCTAGTTGCCAAGTAAAGTTTCCTGATAATTCTTTTGACTTGATTCCCAGACCTCTGGCACTGTGACTGTTGAGCTGCTAGAGTTACCTTTTGCCCATGTAGGTTCTCAGCTGTATGGAAGCAGAAACTAACCCCTCCCTGCTATTATTGCTGGTGTACTCAACGCCTGGACTAAAGAAGTCTTTCATTTATTATTATTATTATTATTATTATTATTAAGTCTACATGCTTATTATTATTGTAGATACTCTTACTCTACGAAGGGGCAAATAATTATGATTATCTGGTCATTATGGTCCTGAATTGAACAGAAAGCTTCTTGTCTTCTCTGTTTCCTAGCAAGAGATACTGTGATAATATGGAAAAAGCCCCAATCTAGGTATTGATAGTCCAGGATTCTGGTCCTGGGTTCTGTCACTGGCGAGCTGCGTGGCCTTAAAGAAAACATTTTATTTTTCTGTGCTCTGGTGTGCTCAGCTGTGATGTGGAGGGTGTCGACAACTTTCATGATCTCCACAATCCAGTCTAGATATAAACCTTTGGTATTTTTCTCTATGCATGTTTAAGTAGCCCTAAATTAGAAATGGAAATATTTTCTGTGGGCGACTTTTAAACCACTAGCAGTAGGGTGCCTGGGTGGCTCAGTGGGTTAAGCCGCTGCCTTCGGCTCAGGTCATGATCTCAGGGTCCTGGGATCGAGTCCCGCATCGGGCTCTCTGCTCAGCAAGGAGCCTGCTTCCCTCTCTCTCTCTCTCTCTCTCTGCCTGCCTCTCTGTCTACTTGTGATCTCTCTCTGTCAAATAAATAAATAAAAATCTTAAAAAAAAAAAAAAAAAAAAAAAAGAAAAAAAAAAAAAAAAAAATAAACCACTAGCAGCACTAACTTCACCCCATGTTATGATTGCTCTGTTTTTCAAGCTCAGTCCGGAAATTCAGATACTGCTGGACAGACAGGGACCATTTTACTAAAGATGTTTCCATGTTCATTCCAGCAGACCAATTTCCTGATAATATTCAGTTCTTTAAAATGTGTTTTTAAAAATTAGGTCATGTAAAAAAAAATTACCTTCTTCTCAGGGATCCATACCAAAATACATACAACTGAAATTAATTGATGTCAAAGATTTTGTTTTTAATTTGACAGAGACACAGTGAGAGAGGGAATTCGAGCAGGGGGAGTGGAAGAGGAGAAGCAGGCTTCCCGCCAAGCTGGGAGCCTGTTGCGGGGCTCGGTCTCTGGACCCTGGGATCAGGACCTAAGCCGAAGGCAGACGCTTAGTGACTGAGCCACCCAGGCACCCATCAAAGATTTTCTTTAAAATAGCCTAGCAATAAAAGAAAAGGAGGGGAATGGATAAAAACAGATTGACAAAATGTTGGCAATGAGTATTCATCACAGTATATGGTGTACTATACTATATGATGTACTATATATTTTATATTAGTATATTTTAAAAATTTTTCATAGTAAAAAGGGTTTTTTTTTTTACCCCCAAAAATGTGTTTTTAAAAATTAATGTCAGAACATTCTATTCATCTATTAATTAGAGGCACGGTTTTTAGATAAGGATGCTTACTCTTCCTCTGCCTTACGTGTTGACATTTTCCCAAGTATTTCTTGTAACAATTTGAATAGTCTTCTCTCTCTGTCTGTTGCGTGCTGTCTCTCTATAGCTCTGTACGTGTTATGTAGGTACAGATGATCCTATATGGTTACTATTTGTATATAGTAATGCCTGACCAACATGCACATGTACAGAATTATAAAATTTTATTTATACCGCTTACAAGCTTAAACCTAAAGCTCACTAAAACACACCATGATGTATATTTCCTTTTGTAAAGTCAGCTTTTAAAGAGGAATTAGCCTTATATTTAATCGGCTTTAATTGTATTCTTTATAAGTTGTAAGAGTAAGATGAACCTATCTTAATATTTTAAAAATACTCTAATATACAAATAGTTACTGAAATACTCTATAGTGTTTATACTGTAGCATGATTCTATGTAATTAGTTTCCACGGCTAGATAAGAATGATGGAAATTAAATATATATTTACAAGCATCTTCATTGGTTGATTTGCGGGCAGGTAATTTTACTGTCAAAAACTACTTGGCTCATATGTTGTGATATCTGATGTGAACTGTAATTGATATTATTTTAGTTCCATCTCCTGTGTTAATTTTCTCATTTGATGTGATTTGCTCCATTTTCCTAATAGCAATTACTTGGCGAGCTGTCAGAGGTAACCCACATTTGTTCCCTCATGGCACTTCTTTTTAATATCATAGTTTGGATTCAATTTGTGGACTTAACACCCTCCAAATGTTCCAGCTGTGCCTTCCCCCCCCGTCCCCCCCCCCCCCCCCCCCCCCCCCCCCCCCCCCCACTGCAGAGTTCCAAAGAAACCAAATTTAGAGGAAAAATGTTAGGTTAAATTTTTAAGAACAGTTCCATTTCAATGGCTTTGTTGGGCTTGCTTGCATAACTTCTCCTCTGAAGCAGTATCTTGCATGAATCAAGAGCTTATCTCTGAATAACTTTCTTTAATCCTAGAGAATTTCAGCTTTAGTGGCTAAAGAAAAGTGACTCATTCTACCTTAATTATCAATAAGAAAGTACATTTGCCATGGGGTCTAGTAATTCTGACTCCTTTCAGAGAAACAGAAGACAAAGAGAAAGAGATTTTGTTTTAAACAGAACTTTAAATATATTTCTGGGAAATAATAGGCAAGAGTTCAGAGGGTGACAGTCCCTGTACAGAAGTTGGTCCCCATCAAGGTGACCAGTCATGCCGGTTTGCTTCCAGCTGAGGGCTTTTAAGGATGGGGGATTTTCAGTGTAATACTTGGAAAGTCCTGGGCAAACCAGGAAGAGTTCGGTCAAGATTTTTGGGGGTCAGGATGTAGAGCTTCAGCACTCGGTTCAGGAGAAGAAAGTTCAGGGTGTAGTTCTGCTCTCCAAGACTTCCCATATATTGAGGAGCCATTGATTTGGATCTACCTCCAACCAAAAATAACCAAGAGACAAATAATGAAGGGGGGAGCAGTAACTGGGTGGTAGGCAAAGGGGAGTGAAGGATTTGGAGGGACACAGAAAAGTGATTTCAAGAGTCCACACTGACCTTCTACTTCCTCCATGCCAAGAATGAGGAATCAGTTTCCACAGAAAAGCCTTGGTTGCTGTTTCAGGGCAGGATCTAATGATCTGAGGAAACACTTGCCTCCCCCTTTCATTCCATGGGTTGGAAACATGAGGCAGGAAGAAAGGACCAAGGAAAGGGGAAAATATGCAAGTAAATTCGTGACAAGTTTTCATATGGTTTCTCTTTAATCAAATATGTATGTTTTAAGCCTCTTGTTCTCTTAGGTTACACAGCTAAAATTGCATGATACAGCAATGCCAGAGGAATGAGGCACAAGATTTGGTGAGCCTGTCTCGAGGCTCAGTGGTGACAGTCACACACAGCATACCCCGTTTTTCACAGTTTTATTGATGGATGGCAGAACACTAGCGGCTCTTGTTTTTACGAATGCAGGAAAAATGGAATCCTATCATGGAGTGCGAAGCTGCTGGCATTGTTTGTTTGTTTAAGCTCTAAAAACAATAACTTAAATGGATACTTTTGAGATTCTAATGTGAGAATTCACTAACCTTTTATGAAATTACATATGCAAAGGATATTCTTGTCAAGGGAACATTGCATATACATTAATCAGATGACTTTGGTGTGTGCTAAGTATGATATTTTGGTGATCTTTGCTGTACTTTGGTTGTTTTTAAATATCTTATTGGCCCAAATATAGGAAAGTTGTTTTATGGGAAGTAATAATAGTTAAAGTCTATAATTGAATATATTGGGAGTGTTTGTAGGCCTTCAGTGCTGAGTGGGTCAGTAGTCTCTGTTTCTATCCCATCTAACTTCATGGAGAGCGCTTAGGAATCTTACCCTCTATTACTTACCTGCCTCTTCCCTTACCCCTCCTGTCCTCCTCTCTTCAATATCTAACATCTTTAGAAACCCTTCTTTCACTTCTCCTCGTGCCTGTTTCATACCTTTCCGACTTTCTTCACCCACTGGCTGGCGAGTGGTAGTTTTTAAAGAAACATCAGAGAAGAACCAGGATTTCTTCCCATACCAGTTTCCACAGGTGTTACTCATTTGCTGTGAAGACAGCTACAATGATGGTGTGATTTTTGGTTGTTTCTGTTTGTTTGTTCTGTTTTTGAGTAATGATTTGATTTTAAAATGGTGTGTGTGTTGTGTATTTTTATATTTTTCATCTCTGTGGAAATTGGGGAGGCATCTTCTAAAATCAGTGTTACCTTATATTTGGGCCAATTTAGGAATTAGAAGTAAATACTGTTCTAACCAAAGGACCAGATTACCAAAAGGCCTGTTAATTTTGAGTATTAGCATAACTAAAATTGTGCTAGTGCTGTATCTAAATTTCACCTGTATATTTGATTCTACTAAAAAACACCAAAAACAAAAAATAACCAAAAGCTGCCTTTTGGGAATTTGGAACTTGTTACAATGCAATTATGTCAGTTTAAATTATTTTGTTTAAAGTTTTAACTCTTCTGTGGAGTTTAATAGGGAATATACAAAGATACAGTTTTCTAATACCCTAACAATTGTGATTTAAAAATTACTGAAAGTTATTGTGTATTTTGACACATTCACCTTTCAGAAAGTGTTATGACTTGAAAAAATTAATAGCATTTAAAAATTACTTATTTATATTAAAACATAGTCCTTTTATCTACTGGGATATTATCCTTTTTCTTAACAAACTACATGGACACAGCATAATTAAACATTACTTAATCTAGCATACTTTAAAACTAAGGAGTAAGTAATGCTTTATGTTATTGACATTTAAACTTCCAGTGCAATTAGAGGTTAATATTGATGGAAATTATAAAATAATCATAATCTTTTGACCTACCCTGGTCTTATGTGATTCCAAGTTCAGATTTTATTTTTTTTTACATTTATCACTATTACTAATACTACTATTTGCTATTGATATATCTTTTGACTTATTAATTTGCATTTTGAATTTAAACAAATATGTAGAATATTTAAAAGATTATTTTTAATGATCATTGTATCATAAAAGATCGGAGGGTGTGCGCACACACAAATTATTATGGATCTGCAGGTGAGTTTACAAATAAATAGCCAGCAATGTCCTGTCAAGTATATACTGTTTCCTAGCCTAGGCTTTATAATTTTGCAATTTCAAATTAATGATTTGTCTTTATAGAAACAGAGGATGGAGTATGGTCCCAGACCAACTGACACTCCCTCTGCTCCATCACCTCCTCCAACACCGGCTCCTGTTCCTGTCCCGCTTCCTCCTTCCACTCCAGCACCTGTTTCTGTGCCAAAGATCCCGGCAAATGTCACCCGTCAGAACAGCAGTTCCAGCGACAGCGGCGGCAGCACCGTGCGAGATAACCAGAGACAAAAACAACTTCCCATGGACCGTAAGTTTCCAAGGGAGGCAAGAATGTGCAGTTTCTCCCGTGAATGAAAAGCACCGCTAAGTAAAATATTGTTGGTTCTACGGGTACTAAACATTATTAAATATAAATACTGGTCCTTTATACCTGCCCTCTACTTCATAGATTGCAAACACTTTCATCTAGTTTCTTGTTCTTCAGGTAATTCTAAGAAGCGGGAACTTCTCTCCACTGTTTAATTGTGTACATTCCTACACATATTCCAATCTATTGTGGTGGTTGAATATGGATTCTGGAGCCAAACATACTTGAGTTTGTAGAGTGAAACACCACTTAGGGCCACTGACCTTCAACAATTTAATAATCCTCTCTCCACTTCCATGTTCGAACAGTGAGGGCAAATGATGGCATCTTTTTCATAGGATGATTGTGAGGATTTAGCGAGGTATAGTACACATAAATCATTTAGATCAGTCGTTCTCACCCAGAGATGGTCATACCGCCTTCCTGGAGGGAACATCCGGCATTGTCTGGAGGAATGTTTTGTTCACAGCCGGGTGGATGCTGCTGGCATCTAACAGGTAGAAGCCAGGGCTGTTTAGCAACATCCTACAAAGAACAGATCAGCCCCCCACAACAGAATTATCTGCTCCAAAATGTCAGTGATGCTGAGGTTGAAAAACTTTGATTTTTTTTTTTTTTAAAGATTTTTATTTATTTATTTGACAGACAGAGATCACAAGTAGGCAGAGAGGCAGGCAGAGAGATTGAGGAGGAAGCAGGCTCCCTGTGGAGCAGAGAGCCAGATGCGGGGCTCGATCCCAGGACCCTAGGATCATGACCTGAGCCGAAGGCAGAGGCTTTAACCCACTGAGCCACCCAGGCGCCCGAAAAACTTTGATTTTTGACCAATATGACCAATAATGAGCAATTCAAATATTTGCTGCTATCATCATCGGAATCATCATCATGGTTTTCCTGCTCCTCTTCCTCATATTTGCGACACACACACACACACACACACACTCACATACTCACACACTCACACTCACTTAACACAATCAGCCTGCCAATACCAGTTTCAAATTTCCCCCCCAAATTCAGGTTTTATTCGATTTAGACTTCAACTTCATATGTTCGTAACATTAAGTGTGATATGTTATATAAATGATTTCTGTGAAAAACCAGATTTTAGAAAGCTGAAAGGACGCTGTGGCAAACTTTGGATTATCCTTGTTTATACTGTTGAACAGCAGTGTAGGAAATTGGAAATTTGAAGGGAATTCTAAGACAATTTTTCTTATTTTATCTTCAAATTATGTTTGTATATATATTATAAAATTACCTTGCTTTACCTATCCCGGACATGTAAACATTCTTGGAAAATTAGAGCCAGGAAGATAACTTCTTCAATACGTGTGTATGCACGTGAACGTGCGGGTATGTATATGTATAAAGCATGTCTTTCGGTCTTTCAATGTGGCGTCTCCTAGGGCTCAGTTCTGGGTTCTTCCCTCCATATAAACTTATTTTTACTGTCAGTGATCAATCTATTTCCATCTCTTTTAATATTGTCCATATTGGTAGAGAAGGAATGCTCCCAAATTTGTCTTCTTATCAAATCTCATCTCTGCCATTCAAATATAAGTATTGAACTATTATTTTTTTAAAGGTTTATTTATTATTTTAGTGGGGGGAGGGGTAGAGGAAGAGGGAGAGAAAATCTCCAGCAGACTCCCCCTGAGTGCAGAGCCTGAGGTGGGGGTCAATCTCCTGACTCAGAGGTCATGACCTGAGCTGAAACCGAGTCAGCTGCTCAACCCACTTAGCTACCCAGGCACCCCTGAACTATTAACTTTAAAGCTGACATTGGATGGTTAGATTCAAAAGTAAATACCGAATCTTTTACTTCCATTTTCATCTGACATTTTTCTCATCTCAGTAAGTCATAACTGCATCTATTCAGTTGTGGTCATTTTTTGATAAATGTTTAAATTTTAAAAGAAGATATGTATATTACTGTTTAGTTCTAGAAATTCTGGCTAAATGCAATAAGCACTAGTCTACTTTTATACCTTATTTTCTTCTCCGAAATAGAGCTGATTTATCATCTTCTTATCCTATTCCAACCTTGCCAAAAAGTAATGGAAAAGTGAAGCTTTAGAGAAACGATTAATTGTGCAGCAAAAACAACTGTGTGTGTGAGAATGTGTAAGTGTGTAGAAGTAAGCTGTGCTACTAAATTTTCTTAAATGTTTGTGTATTTTTTAAAAGATGTTTTTATTTTTTTCAAAGACACTTAAAAACATAGTTTTGAGATGAGAAAGTTCTGTAAATATTTTTATTGATTTCCCTAAGGAAAATTTCCCTCTCAGAAATGACTGTTCTTTTTTTTTATTTTTACCACAAGTTTATAACATCTCCCTTCCTTGATACGTCAGCACAGTAATCTTTGACACTGTGGTACTCTTTCCAGGCCTAGATCAGAGTTCATAGGCATCTAGTCCCCATTTGGAACAGTCTGTGGGTTGGGACAGTTTGTTCTTTGTCCCAGTCTAAAAAACTAAGAATAACCTAATGGGAAAGGGGCATAGTTTGAACACTTCAAAGATAGAGAATTCTCCTGATAATTGTGACTCATCGTTTTTGAATCTGTTTTTCATAAGTAAAAGGGTAGCATTGGTATATAAAACATATATATCTCTCCCTGAATTAAATCTGTACTTGTTTCTTTGTAACAATAAAAGTTTACATTTCCCTACACAAAGTTCCCTTTTAAAGATAACTCAGAAGCATAGTTTCATATTAACTAAATGTATTTCTTTTTATAAAATGCTTATTTTCATGATCACTTTTTCCTGAGCAAGCACGTTTTTGGAGAACGGTTTTTCTAAATGAACATAGGGGCTTCTCAACAGTCTTTTAGAACCAAACAGACATATTTAAATGTACATTTGTCAATTGCCAGATTTCTCTCAAAATAAGCCTTTTAGACTTCCTACATTCTCTGCTTACTACCTAGACTTTTGGTAAAAATAAAATGGAAGGAACTGGAAAGTGATACTTACTCAAAAAAAAAAAAAAAAAAA